GAGAGAGAGAGAGAATTTTTAATATTTATTTTTTAGTTCTTGGCGGACACAACATCTTTGTTGGTATGTGGTGCTGAGGATCGAACCCGGGCCGCAGGCAAGCACGCTACCGCTAGAGCCACATCCCCAGCCCCTGATCTTTTTTTTTTTAATATTTATTTTTTAGTTTTTCGGTGGACACAACATCTTTATTTTGTTTTTATGTGGTGCTGAGGATGCAACCCAGCGCCCCATGCATGCCAGGCGAGCTCGCTACCACTTGAGCCACATCCCCAGCCCATGCTGTTCCTGATCTTCAGAAAGCTCTAACAGTGAACATTTTATATGCTACAAAAGTACATTAGGTAATCAACCTCCTAAGCCCCTCCAGTCAATTCTCAGGTCAACCAGTTGCTGAATATGATTTATTGCTCTAGCAGTGAAAAACTAATTCGATTAAAACAGGAAAGTGTATCAGGTTTTTTCTTGCCTCCCATTTCTTTTCTCCAAAATTCTTCTGATTATTTGTTCTTTTTTTCTTTTTTGGTTGAACCCAGGGCTGCTTAAACACTGAGCCACATCCCCAGCCCTTTTTATTTCTGATTTTGAGACAGGGCCTCGTTAAGTTTCTGAGGCTAACTTTGAACTTGTGATCCTCCTGCCTCAGTCTCCTGAGCTGCTGGGATTACAGGTGTGTGCCGCTGTTCCTAGCTCTGATTATTTATTCTTATTGTTTTTCAGACAGGCAGATGCCAAAATAAACTGTATAAAAACCTAGACTGAAATAAGCACAAGCAGAATCTTGAGTACCATAAAATTAACTGCTCTGAGACATTTGGAAGGCCTATGATAACTGTGTGTCTTCCTTAATGGTACATTCAAAAGAATGGGATTTGGGCATTGTGCCTCAGGAAGGTGCTCAATGACTCTCAGAATCTTGGACAGCAAGCACTATTAAAGTTCACATCTTCTGCATATTTTGCTTTTCTGTTCCAATTTTACATCACTCTTCCAGGCTTATCTCTAGTGATTTGAAGCAATGGGATCAGGACAGCAGGTTGCTGACCATAGGCCTGGGCACTGGGGACTGGGGAGCTATCATTTTTGAACATAACTCTTAAGTGACACACACTGTGGTTGACACTATTAGCATCTAATTTTATTTTCACAACTGAAAGGTTGGTTTTATCTTCATTTTATGGATGAGGATGAGAGCCTCTGAGAGCAAAAGTCACACACATCTAGGAAGCACCGAGTCTGGTTCCTACACCCCGACCATCTGATTCCAAAATCTAGGCTCTCACCATTGCTTCATTTGCTTCCCTTAAAAAGAACACAACTAACACAACTATCCTCTTTCTTTTGTAATAACTTAGTTTTACCAAGTTCTGGGAGCCTGGGGACAAGGCAAGAAAGCCAGTCCTTGGAAAGTAGGGAAGAAGGATAGACACATGGAGACCAGGGAAGCACAGTAGCCGGAACTGGCAGATGCCAAAATAAACTGTATAAAAACCTAGATTTTTATACAGAACAGAAAGATGAAGTGGGGGACACTCTAACTGGCCACAGACCTGGGGCTCATCTCATCCTCTCTGCCATGGGCCAGGCCTTTCCACACCTCAGGTTGAGGCTGTGGCTGGGAGGACCAGAAGGTTTTGCTTTTTGTTATGACAGTAGAGGGTAATGGGTTCTAGACAGGGAAATAATAAAGTGAAATGTGATCGTAGACCCAGTTTGAATTTATGCCCGATAAAAACTAAAAATAAGATGATCAATGGCAGGCCATTTGGGGGACATTCAGAGCCAGCCCCCAGATTTCTCAGGCAGAGTGAATAAAAAACTCCCAGAGGGAAAGAATACAGAGAACACCCACAGCTGTGTGAAGACAGAAGGCTAAATGAGTCTGGGGGCAGGGGTCTTTTCCAGTCCAGACTAGAAATTCCTGGTGGAATCTGGACAGCTCCAATGTGTACAGATAGGGCCCACAACTTCTCTACTTGAGCCAGCAAGTTGAACTGGGCATATCAGGGAAGTGTTCACTAGCATCCCTGGGGACACACTTTCCTACAGAGGGCCACCACAGTGCAGTGAGAGACACCACTCAGAGGAAATGTGCCACACAGATCAACAGGCAGCAGCAGGAAACAGAGCCACAAGCTGCCTGCTAAATGGTAAAATGGACTGGCTCAGAGATTGGAAATTCCATCATCTTCTGCCAAAGTTCTTCCAAAGCTTGGCTTCTCTGTTCCTCAAATGTGTGCAGTCAGCAAATCTATTCTTTCTCCAGCCCACCACATATAGATTTCCTACTTGTAAGACAACTCTGAGGTTGACCCAAAGCCCTCTTTCTTCTATCGGTGCAAATCCTAAACCACTTTTAGGACTCTGGGAAAGGTCCAATTCCTCTACCAATCTCCTTCTCATAATACTTAAGGTGCTTTTTTGGTCAATTGTGCTCAATTTGCACTTGATTTTCCTTGCACTTTGATTTAGCTGTGTATATCTTGCCTTCCCAAATTTATGGGCACTGGATAAACAAGTATGTATCATAAAAAGTTAGTAGAACTAATCTCTGCGGTTGCCATTTCCATTTCTTCTTGTCATAAAACCCTCTCATTTTGATTCCGAAGATTTTGCATGCTTGTATAGAACATTCTTCCTTTTAACACAGCCCACACTCCTTCTTTCTTCCTCCAGTGTGCCAGAGGAAGCTCTATGACCACAAAACTCAGTCTGCATAAAATGATAGGATGGAGCCTTACTTGAGCCCCTTGCTCTCACCCAGCCTAATCTTCCTTCTGGCTTTCACTGGTTTTCACCCAAACTTCATCTTATCTTTGCCAATGGACTATGACACTTTATCTTTCCCTATTAAAATTGAACTTCCATCCTTCTGATACATCAGGTTCTGACCACAGCTCTACCTTCTCACTATACTTGTGAGGCATGAGCTTCTCTTTGGCTTCTGGCCAGTTGTTTCACCAACTGAACCCTGACTCCTTCCCTGGGTTTGCCCAGGCTCCAATTCTGATAACTCCCTGCCATTTCATCAAGCCACAGAACTAAGATGGGAGGCCTCTCGTGCTTTCATGTTGTAACATTTATTTAGTCAGTTCTAAACTCATAAACACAGGACTTACAAAATTCCATGCCTGCAATTATTGGGAGTTTGCTTTTAGAATCTTTTCTGTCAAACGTATCGTTCAGCTTACTAAACGATTAGTTCATTACTTCAGAATACCTGAAGAGAATCTGTCGTAGGTCATTTCTCTTATACAGAGAGAGAATGGTCATAAATTCCTAGGCTCTCCTAGACAAACACCTGACTCTCTCTCAGGAAACCCCCTTGCCATGCATGCCCTTTGAGGAATCCAGGAAAATGTTTCATTTGTATTATTGCTTTTCCAAACAATGTATGAGAATGCATTCTCTATAGGAAAAAAAAATTAATAGCTGATGGTAAGTTTATCTGAAACATTGTTGTTCTTCTAGTATATTATGTGCAAAATGGGTTTCTGTGGAATAATATATAAAATCTCTTAATAATAATATTTCCATAGAAAATGACTTTCAAATTCCACATTGACCAATAACTTTTAAAACAAAATCTGTGCAGGAATTAAGGCAAGTGTGGAATCCAAATTCTTCCAAGATGTCTTCCCCATCAAGCAAAACATCAAGACAAAATTAAGTCCACATAGTCCTATTCTATGAATATACATATGAATCGAAACAAGTAGAGATAAAATTCTTTTTAAACATACCTGTTGTCTTCCTCCAGCTTTATCTTGGATAATAGTCCTGGCAATAGCAGCAGAATATACATAAGATTTGAAGAATGAACTGACAATATTGCAAAGGCCAATGGCTATTAGATCCTGTAAAGAAATGCAGAAACTTAAAGCCTACTTTTTGTTAAAGACTATGGGATAATATATAAAATCTCAAAAAATTTGATAAAAAACTAATACAACTTGTTTTATTTTGTTTATTCAGCTATTTATTTATTTTGGGATGCTATGGATTAAACCCAGGACCCCACACGTGCTAGGCAGGTGCTCTAACACTGAGCCACATCCTCAGCCCACTAATTTTGATTTTGAGCAAAAAGCATGCTCTTTATTTCTTGTGTCTGAAGAGAGGTTGTTTATATTGTTTCAAACAACAGATGGAAATATTCTTAGAAAGGACAAAAGGAAGCAAGCAAATATGATTATCTAGATTAAATCGCATCTTCATTTTAGCTAGTTGTCATCAGGAAAACTCTTCTTCAAGGTCATGAAATGAGGCCTTTTCCTTTTTATCCTCTTTCATGTGATTGCCAGGACTTTGAATGGTAGGGAGACTAGCAGTGCTATTCTTCTTCCTTCTTTCTATACTACCTAAATGTCAAACTAGGAAAATGCTTTCTTTCCAAATAGTTCCCTCTTGACTTCCAGGGGAAGGACCAAACTCAGAGTAGTGGGAGGGTTTCCCTAAAAATAAATAAATAAATAAATAGGCCAAAGACAAAGAGGCCAACTTAATTACATATATTGATAGTGAGTTTTGCATGTTATATTCCACAGCATTTCTTTTTAATTTTATTTATTTATTTATTTATTTATTTTAGTTATAGATGGACACAATACCTTTATTGTTTATTTATTTTTACAAGGTGCTGAGGATCGAACTCAGGACCTTACATGTGTGAGGCAAGTGCTGTACCACTGAGCCACAACCCCAGCCTTCCACAGCATTTCTTATCACGCCTCAGTGTGTGGTTGGCTTCTAAGGACAGGGTGGACAGAAAGATAAAATTAACATGAGAGGAACTCTGCTGGCCGAGCAAAGAGATGCCACATGTCATCTTATTGTCTCTCTGCACCATATCTGTTCCAGTGGAACAACACTCATGTTAAATTTCAAGTGGCTTCAAAGTTAAATATTCCTCACTTCTCAAAAACTCTTTTGTGACTTCAGTCCAAAATTACAGTCCGAGTGACTCTTTGGTTAAGGAATCTAGCCTTCACGTTGGCAGGTGGCTCAGATTAGAGAAAAGACTTACAGGTCAGAAAAAGCAATGGTCTTCTCACCTGATTGGAGTTGATTCTGTAGTTGTGGAGACCAGCAATCTTCTTGCCCAGAAATATAACCATAAAGGAGCTCACAAGAGATAAGGATATAGCTGGTAAAATAAGTCTAGAAAAAAAGTTGCCGAAATTTGGTAGTGAAGGAAACAGGAAGCTGAAACAAAATAGTGGAATTATTCCTGGATAGCAGGTGTGCTTTACTGGCACTCCCACCATTTCATCCTTTTCCTCCAGGGCTGGCCCAGTGTTCCTCCCCTTCTAACCAAGAATACAGAAGTAGAGCAACTGAGGCAGCAGCTTGCCCAAACTGCCAGCAAATCAAGCCAAGTTACAAAATCCATCAAGAGAGCATATTAAGTTGTCTTCTAATTCCAAGTTTCTGCTATTTGATGATAGCAATGATCGGGACAGTCAAAACCACAGAACTCTACTCTTGATACTGTACCCATGAGTAGACCATAGGTAGATATGACATCAAGATGTTTTAGAGCTGAAAGGCCCAATGACTTCCCTTTTAGTCACACTTGCATTCTTCAGGGTATAATTTTAGTCATTGTCCTTTGTATAAATGGGTTCCCATTCCTACCCATGCTTTCCCTCCTGTAGTTTTGAGGTCAACAGAATGTTGAACCCATTTATAATACTTTAGCTCTAGAGTATTATATCCATTTTGCTGATAATCATTGTTATCTATTTCTACAAATTCAATACAGTCTATTTTTACTAAGATCCTATCATAGCAAACATTGCCAAACACATTTAAACCACGGCCAAAACTTCTTTCCAGGTATATCTCCTGTTCCATTGTTAACTGGGAAACTCTTGTTTAACGCAATAAACTTTCTTCTATCAGTATTACCCATCAGATCACTATCCAAAGAATTGAGGAACATCCTGATTCTCAAAGGAATCAATGCTTGTCTATTCATGCATGTCTATTCATATCTATTCATGTTTTGTAATTTTACCTTGCTGTCCAGAGTATCTGTGAAGTCAGCTTGTGTGGTCAATTTTTGCAATACTATAGATCAAACCCAGGACTTGTGTACACTAGCCAAATACTGAGTTATACTCTCAGCCCTTTTTATTTTCTTTTGTAACAGGGTCTCCCTAAGTTGCTGAGGCTGGCCTTGATCTCATAATTCTCCTGTCTTAGCCTCCTAAGTAGATGAGATTTCAGGTGAGTGCCACTGCATCCAGCTCTGTGCACTCAATTTTAAATTGTCACTTCCTGGGTCCTGTGTTCTTAGGATCATTCACAAATATTTGATGTTCTATATTTATAGTAGAAAATTTTGAAATAGTCACAAAAGAAAGAAGAATGGTATAATGAGCCTTCCTATACCCATCACCTACCTTCAACATATAATTCATGACCAATCTTATTTCATCTGTACCATTATCCACTGCCTATTGCAAGATAAATTTGAAGAAAATTCTAGGCATTTTATCATTTCAATTGTAAATATTTCTGTGTACCTCCCTAAAAAAATCATACAACAAAAATTATACTGTCTTAATATTATCAAATAACCAATTAATTTTGAAGCTTTCCCAAATATCTTACAAACATATATTTTATAATTTGTTAAAATTAGAATCCAAATAAGGTCAATGCATTGCAACTGGTTGCTGTGTCTGTTAAATCTCTCTATGATTTTTCCCATCATCCTAGATACAGGACATCTATGAAAACTTAAAGTGATCAACAAATACCCCACTTATGGTAACTTTGAAGTAATCATTGTTTTTAGAGATCCATTTTTTGAGATAAGAGGTGAATGATTAGAAAGTGTTAAAAAAAAGTCTATGTAAATAGATATAAAGGCTATATAAGCTCTAGAGTATTATTTCCAAACTATTTTAATGCACCTGCATTTGTGTGTGTGTGTTGTGTGTGTGTGTGTGTGTGTGTGTGTGTGTGTGTGTGGTGCTGGGGATAAAACCCAGGGCTTTATGCATGCGGGGCAAGCACTCTACCAACTGAGCTATATCCCCAGCCCTACACTATGTCAATTTCATTGAAATATGTACATATAATTGATAACTTGGGACTTCATGGGTTAATTGCCTCTCTATATCTTTTTCTTTTCTTCCTTGAAATTTTTTGTTTATTGGTTAAAGAAATCTGTTATTCCATCCTACTGTGTTTCCTACCATCCCTGTGTTGCAATTAACATGTTCCTCTGTTCCTTGTATTTTCTATAAATTGGTTGTTAGCCCTTCAGATTTGGCCAGACGATTTTTTTTTTAGGAAAAATGCTTCATAAGTGGTGGTGGTATGTATTTCTGTTAGGAGGAAAAAAACAAAAAAACAACTGTTTTTTTGTTCAATGTTGGCAGATGATATGCTGATATCCCTTAATGGTAATATTCCATAATTCTAAGTTTATAATTCCTTCTCCCTTTATTAGCTGGACTACTTCTATAAAGTTAAATGTCTTATTATAAACTGTCTGGATGTTCCAAAGAGCAATTCTTACAGGAAAGGCACAATAAATGCCTGATTTTTCTCTTTTATTTTAGAATTTTTGAAAGAATGAGTTGGTTCCCTAGCAACTTCCAAAGATGAAAAAAATAAGTTTATTTATTTAGAATTTTTACATAGTAATGATTTTAAACACATTTGATGTCTTTGGCCAATAAAAACCTCAAAGTAATCTATGGATTCAGTGCAATCATATTAAATTTCCATTGGCCCCTTTTGCAGAAGGAGATGCCAACCCTAAAATTCACATGAAATTGCAAGGACCCTGAAAGCCAAAGTGATTTAGAAAATGAAGGAATAAGCAAGAAGACTTGCATTTCTTAATTTCAAAACTTTCTACAAACAACCTATAACAATCAAGACTGTCCTAAGGGAAGACATATAGATGAGTGAAACAGAATTGAGAGTTTAGCAATAAACCCAAATGATGCTGGGATAACAGGGTACTCACATGCAAAAGAATGAAGTTAGACCCCTACTACACAACATATACTTTTTTTAACTTTTTTTTAAAAAATTTAAAATCCCTTTTTAACTCAAAAGGATCAAACACCTAAATTTAAAAGCTAAAATCATATGACTCTCAGAGGAAAAGTGAGGGACATATCTTCAAGACCTTAGATCAGCACAAGTGATGAAAATAAATAAATGGAACTTCATCAAAGCTGAAAGCTTTTATGCTTAAAAGTACCAGTAAAAAGAAAAAACAACTTACAGAATGGAAGAAAATACTTGCAAATCAAATATCTAGTAAAGCTATGGTGTCCAGAATATGGGAAGAACCTTTACAAATCAACAACAAAGAGACAAGCAACCCAATTAAAAATAGTCAAAGGATTCAAATAGAAATTTCTGCAAAAAAGATGTACAAATGGCTAGTAATCACATGAAGAGATGTTAAACATCATTAGTCATTAGGGAGATGCAGGTCAAAGTCAGACTGATTTGCCACTTCATATCTTCTAGTATAATAAGAAAAAAAAAACAGAAAATAAGTATTGTGAGGATATAGAGAAATCTGAATTCTTGGGCATTGCTGATAGAAACAAAGTTGTGTAGCTACTATTGAAAACACTTTGGCAATTTCTCAACAAATTAAATACAGAATTACCATATGACCCAGTAATTTTATTCCTAGATATATACCCAAAAGAATTGAAAGTAGATGCTCAAAAAAAAAAAAAAAGCATGCACATAAATGTTCATAGCAGCACTATTTACAATAGCCAAAAGGTAGAAATGACTGAAATGTCCATCAACTGGACACGTTGGAGATGTGTAGATTAGAGTTGGTAATATAGCTCAGTTGGTTAGAGTGTTTGCCTCACAGGTACAAGGCCCTGGGTTCAATCCCTAGCACCACAAAAAAAAAAAAAAAAGAAAGAAAGAAAGAAAGAAAAATGTGTAGATTTGTGTGATGGAATAGTATTTAGCCATGAATGGGAATGTACATGATGGATAAATCTTGCAAACATTATGCCATATGAAAGAAGCCAGACATAAAAGACCAATTGTATGATTCCGTTTATATGAAATGTCTAGAATAGGGAAATCCACACAGATGGAAAGTAGATAAGTGATGATCAGGGACTTTAGGGAGAAACAACTGGAAGTGATTGCTAACAGGTATTTCTTTGGAGGGGTTGATAAGATGTTTTAAAATTAGATAGTGGTAGTGCTTCAAGAATTTATGAAAATTAACTATATACTTTAAAATTTTTTTAATATTTATTTTTTAGTTGCAGTTGGACACAATACCTTTATTTATTTATTTATTTTTATGTGGTGCTGAGGATGGAACCCAGGGCCTCGCACGTGCTAGGCAAGTGCCCTGCCACTGAGCCACAACCCCAGCCCCTAACTATGTACTTTTAAAGAGTTAATTTTATAGTGTGTGAGTAAGATAACAAGAGAATATTATAAAATACTTTATCCAGTATATTTGGCAACTTAGACTAATGACAACTTCTTTGAATGACCAAAACTAACAAAGTAGTCTCAAGAAGAAGTAGATATCCTGAATCAGATAATTACATAATTTAATAATAGTTTTTAATAAGTAGTATATTAAAATTTGAATTATAGTTTGTTTAGGGATTGAACCCAGGGTGCTTAACCATTGAGCCACATCCCCTTCCTTTTTAAAATACTTTATTAAAGACAGGGTCTTGCTGAGTTGCTAAGTGCCTCACTAATTTGCTTTTTAAGAAGCATCCCATGGGTGAAAGCCCCAGGCCCAAATATCTTCACTGATAGATTCTACCAAATATTTAAGAAAGAAATAATGCCCATTTTCTATAAGTACTGCCAGAAACTGAAAACGAGGGAACATTTTCCAAATCATTCTATAATGTCAACATACTCTGATACTAAAACCAGATGCATACTACAAAAAAAAACTTTAGACCAATATTTCTCATGAATATAAATGCAAAAGTTCTTATTATTTCAGCAGATTAACATATTTGATAATATACGGGAACCAAATGGGGCTTATCCCCATGGTCTAACATTCTAAAGTGATTTAACTGATTAAAGAAGAAAGAGAAATCTGATGATTTTGGAGGAAGCATTTAATAGATCCAAACTGGCATAATTCTTTAAACCTAATTCGGGAGCACAAATATGCTTCATTTTCCATTCCTCTAGATTATTAACTCAGAAAATAAATCTCCTGTTTTAGATAGGGTTTGCTATTTGAAATGTTTATTCTTTTGATTGTCTTTTATTACTTAATCAATGACTCAGTAGTTGATTTACTTCCAAAAACATGTGTAAAGATCCAAATTGAGTAAAATGAACAATGTGTTAATCCATTTGGTAAAATTTCTTAAAATTTTTTATGGTATATTTTTGTACCACAAAGTAAATAATAGCATATATAATAAATTTCTTATTAGTTCATGCAGTTTAAATTGCATTTTCCTTTCAGTAGACAGAATCCATTTTTAGCATTTGAGCTAAAATATCTGTTTTGGTACAGGGGATTGAATCCAGGGACACTTAACCACTAAGCCATATCCCCAGCCCTTTTTATTTTTTATTTTGAGACAGGGTCTCTCTGCCTTGCTAAGCTCAGAGGCTGGCTTTGAACCTGTGATCCTCTTGCCTCAGCCTCCAGAGCCACTGAGATTACAGGTGTGGGCCTCTGACCCTCACCCATTTTTAGCATCTTGAACAGCTACTTCCTCTTATCTTCCCATCTCTCACATTATTGTGTGCACAGATCTAAATTCCTATTTTTTTAACGTTTTTTTAGATATTGATGGATCTTTATTTTATTTATTTATTTATATTTGGTGCTGAGAATCGAACCCAGTGCCTCACACATGCTAGGCAAGTGCTCTACCACTAAGCCACAAACCCAGCCCCTTAAATTTCTATTTTTGAATATATTTTTCTTTCTAACTTTTTTTTTGGTGGGGGGGGATACTGGGGATTGAACTTAGGGGCACTCGACCATTGAGCCCTATTTTCTTTTAATATATATATTTTAGTTGTTGATGGACCTTTATTTTATTCATTTATTTATATGTTGTGCTAAGAATTGCAGTGCCTCACACATGCTAGGCAAACACTCTACACTGAGCCACAACCCCAGCCTCCCCAGCCCTATTTTGCATTTTTAGAGATAGGGTCTCACTGAGTTGCTCAGTACCTCGCTGTTGCTGAGGCTGGCTTTGAACTGGCAATTCTCCTATCTCAGCTTCCTGAGTCACTGGGATCACAGGCATGTTCCACCATGCTCGGTTGAATATTTTTTTCTTTGCCATCCAACTCTGTTTACTTTACTTCCCTACTTTATAACTTCCAAGCACCTTGATATTTCCAGGCAATAAGCTAGATAGGAACATACCTGAATGCTTAGAGGCAGATATTAAAGTTTTTGTTAAATTCACCTTTTTTTTTCCTTCTTTTTAAAATTTTTTTGTAGGTGAACAGCATGCCTTTATTTTGTTTGTTTATTTTTATGTGGTGCTAAGGATCCAACCAAGTGCCTCACACATGCTAGGCAAGTGCTCTGCCACTGAGCTTCAGCCCCAACCCTTTTCGTCTCCTTTTTAAGAAGTTAGGTAAGAATGTTGTTGTTCCAAAGAGGTACACAATAAGTGTAGTTTATTATTCAAATCTAATAAGACTGAATGTTTAGTGTGTTAACAATACAAACTACTATTTTTTTCTTCCTACTATTCTCTGTGACACTCAACCTTTTTTAGCAAATTAGGTTAAGAGGGAACATGGACATGGCAGGAGCTAACTTAAATTGCTCAATTGTACTAGTCCCTAGCAACCACGAATAAAATAAAGGCTTTAAAAACAAAGAGCAAAGTAATGCTTAAAACTAGATTTTTTTGAAATGCTGACTTGTCTGTCTATACCTTTACAAATTACGATAAAAGATAAGGAAAAATTGGCTGTGTGGCTTTTAAGTCATTAATAATAGAAGCACATCGAGTAAGAATAATAGTATGGTTATGCTCATAGACTTGGAATTAAATAGAAATGAATTCAATGGTGGCTCTTCCACTATCTTGCTGTCTTATCTTGGAAAAGTCATTTAAACTTGGTGAGACTTAGCTTCTTCCAACATAAAGAGAAGGTAATATGTACCTCACAGTGTTACTGTGAGGAGAAAATGAAATAAAATAAATAACTGCCAATCCTCTTGTTGTTCTTGTTATTTTTTCAGAGGATAGAGACTACATCTTGCTTATCTTTGTATTCCCTGGTACCTATGCGGTGTCTATTTGAAATTCTATTGAATTTCAAATGGATTTAGCCATCATCAGATTTCATTGAGAACTAGTGGAATATGAGACTAGTTCAATTGGGTTTCATCAAATTTGGCTACATTTTGTTACCCTGGAGTTGTAGCTGATATCCCTGACTCCACAGCAATCCCCACTGTCCATCTCAAGGAAATTAGCAGTGTTCTTCAAAAGCCTACCTGTGTCAAGAAACTATAGTCAGGCATGGTGGTGCACACCTGTAAACCCAGCAGCTCAAAAGGCTGAATCAGGAGGATCTCGAGTTCAAAGCCACACTTAGCAAGGCCTTAAGCAACTTAATGAGACTCTGTAAATAAAAAGGACTGGGGATGTGGCTCAGTTGTTGTGCATCCCTGAATTCAATCCCTGGTACCCAAAACCAACAACAACAACAACAACAACAAAACCAAAACAAACAAAAAACCCTTCCAGTCTACTTTTTTCTTAGCTAATGCAATTCACCTGATCAAGGCTTATAAATTATTATAATTTTCTAACAGAAGCAAGAGTCACTGGTAGGAATTATAATGAAAATTAATTGTGAGTCCTTCAGAATTCTATATGTCACACATTTGAAGGTAACTTTCTATCCAGATTAAGAAAACAATGTTTCTGCTGGTCACAGTAGTGCACACTTGAAATCCCAATAACTCCAGAGGCTGAGGCAGGAGGATTCCAAGTTTGAGGCTGGCTTCAGCAACTTAATGAGACCCTCAGCAACTTAGCAATACTCTGTCTCAAAACTTGTGGGCTGGGGGTGTGGCTCAGTGGTGGAGCACTTATCTGGATTCGATCCTCAGTACCACATAAAAATAAATAAATAAAATAAAGGTGAAAAGCGGGGAGAGATTTGGGCTGGGGTTGTGGCTCAGTGGTAGAGCACTTGCCTAGCATGTGTGAGGCCAGGCCCTGGGTTTAATTCCCAGCACCACATTTAAATAAATAAAATAAAGATCCATTGACAACTAAAAAAACATTTAAAAAAAGAAAGGGAGAAACTTTTTTTAAAAAAATTAAAAAGGACTAGGGATGTAGTAGCTCAGTGGCAAAGCATCCATGGGTTCAATCGCCAGTACCAAAAAAAGAAAAGAAAAGCATAGTGCTCAACAACACAAGTCTTAAGTGAGTGAAGGCAGAAAGCACATTTCTCTCCTGAACATGGAGTCCCAGAAGAGAGGCTGGAAAAACAGAAGTACCGCTTGTCTACCTTTGAGAGTTAATCTGACAGGTATGGAGGTTGAGAAGACTTGCAATACTATGGAAACAAATGTGAGTCTCTGGGCATTTAACAGGTTGGATGAGTGAGGGGATCAGCTCAACCATGAGAGACAGAGACCCACCTGAGAAAGAACAAAGAATCGTCCTAACCCTCCTCAGCTCATGAACCTCAGTGTTCTAAAATGAGTCTGATAGTCATATACTATTTGTAGAAAATATCATTAAGACTGTGTGGCCAGAGGCTAAGAGAGGGTATCAGAAAAGAGAAAGTAGTCCTGAAGAGTAGAATTACTAACCTATATGGAATGATCTCAATGAAGTTACGGCTGGTTTCTGTGACCAGGTTTATCTTGTGAGCAAGTACAGTGAAGCCAAGAATCTGCAGGAGTTAAAAAAAAAAAAAAAGCATAAGATTATCTAAAGATCATGCATTGTTTCCAGTATCAGAGATGCTCATAGCCTCTAGCAGGGCAGGAAAAGAAGCAAGTGAAGTCTCTGCACAAGAACTAGATGGAGGCCTCAGTGGGAAAGGGAAGGCAGAGGTCCTTCCTGATTCTTTTGATTCTCTAAAAATCCTTTTAACATTGTAGTCAAATCAAGGTCAGCCTTGATCTCTGACACAATGATGGGAACATCCCACCACCTTTAAATGACTACAGCAATATGAACATGTTGCCAGATAGTGGCTGTATCAAGGTCTCACTTTTTAAAAGTTTTTAGATCCTGGTATATTGTACTAAGGTAAGTCTTTTAATGAATTGTTGAGGTATATTAGTGAGAATTGAATGTCAAACCCTTAATAATAGAAAGCAGCATTTGATATCATCAAGAAGAATGTCTTTAGCAAAGTAATTATCTGTTTTCTCCCCCAGCCCCAAACTTGTTGTAAAAACTGCAGTTCTCTCTTTAGTCCCCAACTTTCTTTTTTTTTTTTTTTAAAGAGAGAGTGAGAGAGGAGAGAGAGAAAGAGAGAGAGAATTTTTAATATTTATTTTTAGCTCTCGGCGGACACAACATCTTTGTTGGTATGTGGTGCTGAGGATCGAACCCGGGCCGCACGCATACCAAGTGAGCGCGCTACCACTTGAGCCACATCTCCAGCCCTAGTCCCCAACTTTCAACTAGAGGGAAAATAGACAATCTAGTAATCTATATACCTCATCATAAAGCTTTCACATCAAAGCAAAATAAACCAGAGATGAGAAACCTCAATGCCCAGGTTTTGTTTGTTTGTGAGATGGAACCCAGGGCGTCAGGCATGCTAAGTACCAAGTTTTAAGATAATAATTACATTGTTGCTTTTTTCTATTCTCTCTCTCAACACATAATTCTTTTTCCCAGCATCTGCTCCAAGAGTTCAACCAGACACAGAGCAGGGCAGCAGTTGGCTTATCTGTGATGCTATGATCTAATGAAATGTCCGGGGACAACAACTGGGAGATGCAGGGGACATGTGGATATTTGGTGAACTTTGTGTCTCTACCACGGAACACTACTTAAGGGGAAAGTAATTCTCAGGGACGGCAATCCCAATGTGAGAAATGCTGACTTTAAAACTCGGAGCTTTATTTCTGAAAATGTCTTCTTCACAGTAGAAATGTTAATTTATAACTTCAAAAGATAAATCTTCTTTGCAAATTTAAAGAAAGAAACAAGCCACCTTTTCATTGAACAGCAGTGATCTCCAGCTCTGCTATTTACCAGTCACATGAATCAGGCAAAATCAAGATCCCATCTACCCCATTTTCTTTACTGTTGTATTATATAAATGAAAGAAGGCTGAATAACACTGTGTTTGCAACTATATCAAAATAGAAACAAAATTTCTGCATAGAAAATGGGAAAATTGGGCTGGGGATGTGGCTCAAGCAGTAGCGCACTCGCCTGGCATATGTGCGGCCCCGGGTTCAATCCTCAGCACCACATACAAACAAAGATGTTGTGTCCGCCGAAAACTAAAAAATAAATATTAAAAAAAAATTCTCTCTCTCTCTCTTTCTCTCTCTTTAAAAAAAAAGAAAAAAGAAAAGAAAATGGGAAAAATTTCAGTATTCACCTATAAGTATTGGCCTATTGTGTGTTGGAAATAATAAGGGAATTAATAACTGAAAATACAAAAATATTAATAGTAATTGACTTTGAGCAGTTGTAACCATAGGAATTTCTTCCCCCTGTTTTTTAAAACCTTCATATATTTTTCAAAAATTCTAGAATGAACCTGTATTACTTTCATAAGGGGAAAAACCCTATTTAAAAATATTATAAGGGGCTGGGGATGTGGCTCAAGCAGCAGCGCGCTCGCCTGGCATGCGTGCGGCCCGGGTTCGATCCTCAGCACCACATACCAACAAAGATGTTGTGTCCGCCGAGAACTAAAAAATAAATGTTAAAAATTCTCAAAAAAAAAAAATAAATAAAAATAAAAATATTATAAGAAAAAAGTCAATAAATATAGTACTTTAAACAAATTTATTATCATTATATTAGTGTGTGCATGTGTTGCACTGGGAGTTTGACCCAGGGGCACTCTACCACTGAGCAACATCCCTAACCTGTAGGGTTTTTATTTATTTATTTATTTATTTTATATTTTAAATTTTTTGAACACAGGGTGTCACTAAGTTGCCAAGGGTGGCCTTGAGTTGAGAGTGAGGCCATCCTCCTGCCTCACTCTCCCTAATTGTTGGGATTAAAGCTGTGCACCATCACACCCAACTAAAAGTACTTTGAAAATAAGTTTTTTGAGGGGAGATCTATTGTTCAGAATGGTGGCTATAGTTAATAATAATGTGCACTTGAAAATTGCTAAGACAAGAGATATTAAATGTTCTCACAAAACAACAAAATGATAACTGCATAAGGTAATAGGAGTTTTAATCAGCTTACTTTGACTATTTCAAAACATGCTGTACACAGGAAGAATGTACAATTTTTATTTGTCAACTATACCTGAGTTTTACAAAAATTTTTTTAAAGAAAATAAACATTTTACCAATGTTGGCATATATTTTAAACTAAGGGTATATTTGGCTTTGACACAATTCAATATATTTTTTTTTCACATGTGAACATGAAATATATGATAAAGTATGTATTTTAAACCACAGGTGTGAAGATGGGCTTTTTCATAAATAATGCAGGGACAACCTATTAGTCAATTAGGAAGAGCTAAAACTCCATTCCTTACACAGGAACACACTACAAATGGTCAGTGATCTAAATGTAAATATTTAAAATCTATCAAGATTAAAAAGAAATGTGTGAATTCCCTTGTAACCTAGGGATAAGAAGAATTTCCTGACTTAAAATCCAGACACACAAAAAAGAAAATTTGACACATTTAAGTATCTTGAAATATTTATGTTACAAAAAACACAACAAGGGGCTGGGGATGTGGCTCAAGCGGTAGCGCGCTCGCCTGGCATGTGTGTGGCCCAGGTTCGATCCTCAGCACCACATACAAACAAAGATGTTGTGTTCGCCAAAAACTAAAAAATAAATGATAAAACTCTCTCTCTCTCTTAAAAAGAAAAAAAAAAAAACACAACAGGATGGGCTGAGTTTGTGGCTCAGTGGTTAGAGCACTTGCCTGGCATGTGTGAGGTACTGGGTTTGATTTTCAGAACCACATATAAGTAAATTAATAAAATAAAGGTTCATGAACAACTTAAAAATATTAAAAAAAACACAACAGGCAAATAAAAGAGATCTCACTATATTTATTTTTATGTGGTACTGAGGATCGAACTCAGTGCCTCACACGTGCTAGGCAAGTGCTCTACCTCTGAGCTACAACCCCATCCCCTCACTGTTTTTTTTTTTTTTAATTCTTCATTTTACATTCCTCTACAAACCTTTGCCTTCCTGAGCTACTTGCTTTCTATTTATTTATTTACTTTAAAAGTAGGTATTTAAAATGATCTGAATCGTGAAATTGGGACATCAAAAACACCTACCAGAATGAATTCCACTGGAAAGTTGATGGGATATTGATTGAAAGAAACTTTGATACATTTGTTGATTCTCAGAGCAACAGCAGTAGTTAGAAACAGTAGAATGCTGGTGGAATTAGCTTTGGGGAGACCTATACAGTAGTTCACTATGTTCTGAAAGAAAACAAAATTACAGAGGCTTAGAAAGAGATAGTAATTGCCTACATCTAGAAAAGGACTTTTTTTTTTTTCTAGATTAGTTACAAAACAAGCAGTTCTAGGACATCGAGGGCAATTGAGAGGGCTGGAAGCTGATATGTATTTTTTAAAAATTAAATAAGAGATATTAAAGGAGCTAGGAGTGTAGCTCAGTTGGTAGAGCCTAGTATGTGCAAGGCCCTAGTACCTTGAAAAATTAAAAAAAAAAAAGATCAAAAGAGACAGGATAGTTCAATAAAATGACTTTATGTTTCAGTGTAACAACAACAACAACTAAAACCTAGGAGTTCTACTTATTAGCCTATTCATTATTAATTTTCCCAAGCTATATACATTCTTTAACTGAGCTTCTATTCTATTTCTTTCCTACATTCAGGGACTACTTTGTATTTTATATCCTGCAGTTGTTTTAGGATATGTGTCTGTAATGAGGCATGTATTGGGAGAATTATGATACATACAGTAGTAACTTAAAGTCCAAATTATAATGAAAATTGTGCTAGGCTGAAATGGTTATTGCAACTGAGAACATGGTCCCACTGACTATCTGCAGTTAACCAAGACTCTAATAAGTCTACGACTTGCTTGACTGAGCTGCCTCTCAGCCACATCTTCTTTTGGGAAAGGGCAGAAGTCTCTTTACTTGGTCCACTTGTTTTTGCAGGCCAGGAGCTGGGTGAGGGGTGAAGTTACTCACATAGAAGAAGGAGATGGGACCAGCGTGGAAGCTAATTACAATCCCTAAGATACAAGTCAGCTGGGACAGCATGATGTGCAGAGCGACAGCAGCTAGGTAAGCACTGATCAGAGCCTCCGGAAGGTAAGCGGACAGAAAGCCCATACCAAGCACGCCCATTGATATCTGCAAGGGGTTCAGATGGAAAGAGAAAGCCAGAAAGGGGCATCAAACCAGAAATGGCACCAAAGACACTCATCAGGGGCCCCACGACTCCTTATCAGAAAGAAGAGTTTCCAACGAAGAAGTTACGGGAGGCCCCTTTGAGAACTTTTCTGCCTCGCTTTCCCCAGTGAATGGAGACTCACGAAATAAGCTGGGCCCTGGCCTGCAGGCTCAGAAGTACCCAACGAGCATGAAACCAACCACACTCCTTTCTTCCAGAGCACCGTCAGCTCTCAGGTTCTTGCTCTAGAATCTACTGCCCTCTAGGTTGAAAAGAAGGAAATGCTGAGAGGTGACCGCAACAAGCCTTTACCCTTTCAAACCTTTAGTATGTTAGCATCCCTGTGAGGAATGCAGCTTTTCACAGAGGAAAGGACAATAAACTGGCATCCAGTTCAAACTCCTTGGCCTTTGACTCTTACCTTTACTAAGAATGACTAAACTGAATCTATTTATGACTTCAGGAATCATGTAATCCTGAACACATAATTAAGATATAATGCAGGTTAAGTATCCCAAATCCAAAAACCTGAAATCAAAAATCGCTCCAAAATTCAAGTTTTTCAGTGCCAACTCAGTTCCACACCTGACCTCACGTGATGGGCTGCAAAGCGTGAGTGCACTAAAAATATTGTAGAAAGGTTACCTTCAGGGTAAGTGAACAAGGTGTATATGAAACATAAATGACTCTCATGTTTTGACTTAGATCCCATTCCTGAGATATCCCCCTCATGTATAGGCAAATAATCAAAAAATCTGAAAAAATATGGAATTCAAAACACTCTGGTCCTGAGCATTTCAGATAAGGCATACTTAACCTGTATTGAATTTTTTTTTTTATTTTTTAAAAATATTTACTTTTTGGGCTGGGGATGTGGCTCAAGCGGTAACGCACTAGCCTGGCATGCGCGGGGCGCTGGGTTCTATCCTCAGCAACAAATAAAATAAGGATGTTGTGTCCACCGAAAACTGAAAAATAAATATTAAAAAATTCTCTCTCCCTCTCTCCTCTCTAAAAAAAAAATACTTTTTTAGGTGGACACAATATCTTTATTTTTGTTTTTTTAAATATTTTATTTTTTAGTTGTAGTTGGATATAATACCTTTATTTATTCTTATGTGGTGCTGAGGTTCAAACCCAGTGCCTCATGCATGCTAGGCGAGCACTCTACCACTGAGCCACAACCCCAGCCCTTAACCTGTATTTTAAATGTGTATTTTACATATGTGTGTACATATATATATATATATATGATAAAAATATGTTATATAACATACAACATATACACAAATGATCTTCAAGGATGACATCAAACTCTTAAACTTCAGGAAATGAAATTAGAGATTGCGAACACCAATTTATATACATTTTTACTCTTTGAGGTTTTTTTCAATGTGTATGTCCATTTTTTATACTTAAAAAAAAACCCTAGGGTTATAAAATGGGTGCATACCCCCATAATAGGGTATATTAAGAACACTGGCACAACTTCATAAAAACAATTCAGGAAAAGGTGAAGATAGAACAAAATGGAAGTTTAAAAGCTAACTATTGTTATCACTTCATCCTCCACTGCACTAAAATGCTCAGAAAACAAAGTTAGAACAATAAATCCTTTGGTTTTAAAAGATTTTTGTTTCAAAACTCTCAATCAGCCTGCCCTGTGTCTCCTTTGATCTGTCAGTACTGCCCAATACACTCCAACTCCAGGTAGAGCAAGCTGCTTCTTATTGTCAGTGTGGTTGGCTGACTGCCACCTCTGTGTTTATGTACCAACCCTTCTGTTTTGCCATCTTGGCCAATATAGGTTCACTATCTCTTTCGAGAGCTCAGTCCAATTCTTCTTCTTTAAGGGGTTTTGTGAAAACAGCATGGTTCTTGGGTCTGCAGAACCCGGCTTCAATATTGGGTCCTGCCAACTCACCGAGTGTGGACACCTCGACTCCCTGAAGTTTGGTTTTGTCATCTTTAAACATGAATAAGGGCTGGAGTTGTGGCTCAGCGGTAGAGTGCTTGCCTAGAACATGCGAGGCCCTAGGTTTGATCCTCAGCACCACATAAAAATAAATAAATAAAGGTATTGTGTCCACATACAACTAAAAAATAAATATTAAAAAAACATGAGTAATACTACATACATCCCCATGATGCACAATCACAAGAATGGAAAGTTATTCTTCATGTATGTATAATATGTCAAAATACATTCTACTGTCATGTATAACTAAAAAGAACAAATATAAAAAGGCAGAGCTAGAAAAAATACCAAATACAGAGAGATATGGATTCAATTATGTAACATGTACAACACCTTGCTCAAATATGAAAATAGCGACAGACACAAATTCTCATCACTCATTTTCATACCACCCTTTCCTTCTACCTTGTACATGGCAAATGTCCACTATCAACCTAGAATTCCCTCTGGCCCACTGTGATATGGCATCAGGTTCTGTGTTGGCATAAAATTCTAGGCAGCCATTATCAACCAGTCAGAATCAGCCTGTGAGACAAAACTTATATGAAAGAATTTTATAGAAAGAATTTATAAAAAGATTTTTTTTTAAAGTATATGTGGAGGGGCTCAATAGATAGTTCTTTCCTTCCCAGAAAACTCCATTCCAACTAAAGGTTATTCTTTGACTTCACTGGCACAGTCTCCACTTTTATAAGTATTATTTTATGTTTTAACACTACCTAGAGCACCAATTCTGGAGGCTGAGAGCCCTGAGACTGAATCTGAGTTTGGTATCTTGAGTCTGTGTGTCCTTGGGCAATCTACTTAACTTCTCCCTGCCTTTGGGTCCATAAAATAAGGACCACTATTAATACATACCTTCATAAAGAGAGTTACCGTGAGGATCAAATGAGTTAGTACATGTACAATGAGCAGCAATAAATGTTAGCTATTATCAAGTTCAGACTTCTATTTATAAGTTAAATGTTAGATGGACTTGCAGACTTAAGAAACAATACAGACAGATCCATATACTCTTTATCCAATTTTTCCCAATGATAACATCTTGTAAAACAGTATCACAACTAGGAGATTAACATTGACATGGCCAAGATACAGGGTAATTCTGTCACTACAAGGACCCCTCCTGAAGCCACGTTATGATTGTCCCCGTTTCCCTCTCACCCCATTCTAACCCCCAAGCAACCACTAATCTGTTCATTTCTATAATTTTGTCACTTTCAAGAATGCTACATATGTGGAGTTACATATTATGTAAACACTCCTATTTTAAATTTCATTGATTTTTACTTTTTTTAAACTTTTTTTCCTTTTGTGTTAGGTTTAGTTTACTCTTATTTCTCTAAGTTCTTGAAGTTGGAGCTTAGATTAGTGAGACTTCCTTTCTTTTGTATTTCAGTGCTATAAATTTCACCCATAGAACTGCTTTAGCTGTGTCCCACAAATTTTGATAAATGCCTTTTAAAAAATTCCTTGATTTTTTTTTCTGTGATCCATGGATTATTTATAAATATGTTGTTCAATTTCCAAGTGATTGAAGACTTTCATGTACACTTTTTGTTAATGTGTTTAGTTTGATTACACTGTGCTCAGAGAATACGCTCTGTCTGGTTTAAATTCTTTTAAGTGTTAAGGTTTGTTTTATCACTGAATATTAGACTATCTTGGTACATGTTCGGTGGGTCCATTAAAAAGAATGTGTATTCAGCTATTATTGAGTAGATTGTTTTGTATATATCTTTTAAATTCTGTTAGTTTGATGGCATCGTTGAATTTTTTAATATACTTGCTAATTTTGTCTAATTTATTGTTTAAAGAAAAGTGTTGATATTATAAATTTGTAATTTGTTGATATTATGAACTGTAATTATGAATTTGTCAATTTCTCCTTTCAGTTCTATAAAATTTTGCTTCTCATAATGTGTAGTTCTCTTTTTTGGTGCATCTAGATTTAGGATTGCTATGTCTTCCTGGTAGATTGATCCCTTTTTTCCACTTAACTGAGGTATAATTGAAGAAATTGTTTCTATTTTTCACTTACAACATCATGGTTTGATATACCACTGAGCCCCCAGCCCCAGCCCTTTTTTATCTTTTATTTAGAGACAGGGTCTAGCTGAGTTGCTTAGGGCCTTGCTAAATTGCTGAGGTTGGCTTTGAACTCACTATTCTCCTGCCTCAGCCTCCTAAGCTGTTGGAATTATGGACATATACCACTGCACCTGGCAGGAGTCCTATTCTTGATAAAGAATATAGAATAATATAAATTTTTTTTAGTTGTAGATGGACATAATACTTTTATTTACTTATTTTTATGTGGTGTTGAAGATTTAACCCAGTGCCTCACATGTGTGAGGCAAACACTCTACCTCTGGGCTACAAACCCAGCCCCTAGAATAATTTTTTAAAAAAATCAGGAGTGTCACTCTGGACCCTAAAACCCTTCTCTGTCTCAGAGGAGAAAGGATTTATGAGAAAGTTCAGTCAGTATCTTTTCCTAAATTAGTGGTGGATTATTTCAGAAGAAGTTTCATCACTGAGGAGACAGCCTATCTACACATTCCACAACTAAATGACTGACATTCCAGATCTATCACCATGGGCCACAGGAGCAGTTAAAAGAAGGGGTACATTTATAACCCTTTACTTTTTTCTTTTCCAGGAGTTCAGAGACTCTGATCCTACCTGAAAAATCCCAGTCAGAAAAGTTGTAGTTTGCACCACATTTAAGGATCTGTTATAGTTGAGAAAGTAGGTGGGGGAAGAAAAGTCATCCTTGATAAAAGTTCCCATGACCAGGTGACCATAATTGAATGGTCTCTCCTTCAGGACGTTGATCATCAGAGCACTCACAAGGAAGAAGGGACCTATGGGAGAAGATATTAGACAGAAGATGAGGTTTTACATCCAGGTAAACTGACAGGTACCGACAAAAACAAGGCTTGGCCTGATTATTTTGTATTGTCTTCAATTTGAAGAGACTTTCTTATTTGCAAGTGGCCATAGAAGGATCTGGGAAGTAAGAAAGAGCAGGGAAGAGAATAGTGACTCCACATACTGTCACCAACTCATAGGATTTAGATGCTGGTGGTCCAGGTATTTACATCATGGGTATATGGGGTGGGAGTCAAAGAGAAATTGACTGGAAATGGATATCAGGCTCATCACTGCACCTGCACTTAGAGATAGATAAAAGTAAAATGGTGTGAAAGGGTCATAAAAAAGCTACAAGAATAATAGGAAGAATACCCCACAATTTTTTTTGAGGTGGGGTTTTGCTAGGTTGTCTCAGTATGCTTCAAACTCTTGGGCTCAACTGATACTTCCAAGCAGCTGGGACTACAGGTGCATGCCACTGCACTTGGCTCAGTACCCAATACTTCTAGAGGTCTTACCATGTGCAAGACAACATCATGCTAAACCTGTTTCAAACAGTGTTTTACTTACTCCTCATATTGACATATATGCACATGGGAGCAAAGGCAAATCTTCCTTTAAAGTACCTAAATTATAAGAGGTCTTCCTGTCAGAATTTGGAAATGTTTGTGAGGTGCCCCAGGAACTTTTGAATAGTATTTGAGTGTAAAAAGCCACACTTAATGGAGTTAATTAAGTAAAGTACAAAACATCTGATTAATGCCCTGAACAAGACTGGATTAAGTGACCATTGCAGAAAGTCTAATTAATGACAATGAGACAAATAGCTTTCTCCTCCTCCTCCTCTCCTCTTCCTTCTTCTTCTTCTTTTAATTAAAGCTGTACCAAGATTTTGTTACCAATCAACATTTGATAAGAGGTCCACTGGTTTTGGTAAATAATAAACATTTTTATAACAACAACAACAAAAACAAAAAGCCATAGTAACATTCCACATCTAAAAGAATGGGATAGTAACCAACAGAATGTATAAACATATCTGGAGAATGGGTGTGTCGATAAGAATGTTCAAAGTTTGCCACTAGAAGTTGTGCAAAGGGGAAGCCCAGGAAAAGGTACCTCACAGAGTGAATGTTCTTGATGCCCTTCTAAGCCTCTTGGGGCATTTTGTGATTAATTCAGTGTTACCTAGGTTAAGTAAATGTAATGATTGGGTGACTTTTAACTATTCTGGACCCTCTGACAGTCATTTCTAATTATAAATCAGTAGATGGACTTTTGACTCGGGCAAGGAAAACGTGCTGTGGGCTTGAGTGTTTTTCTCATTGTAAATTAATAAGCTGACTGGCTGTATTATAAACCAGCCCAATGGAACTGGGCTATTATAGGTCCATCTAAAGACTGGAATATTAGCCGAATCATTTTTAGGTGTTTGGGTAGTAGGCAGACAAATTCCAAGATGTGGCAATTTCACCAAGGAAGTACTTCTGCCATTAAATTCTTTTGGGAAACATCTTGGTGGCCTATTTTTCTAGGTGACACTAGTAATGACACACTAAAAGAAGTATTTATATTTTTAATGTAAATACTAACTGCATGAACCAACTATTTATCTTCTGTCTCTTTTCTATCTTAAAGATAACTTTAAATCAGATTTCTTAGCAATAAGCAAATGATTGAGGAAGAAATTTCATCTACCTCCTTTGGTTCCAGTATTGAACTCACCAATGGACATTTGATGACATGATCCAAAAATTACATAAATTACAGAAGAACAGAAAGCTGTGTAAGCGACATTAAGAGGAGGAATCAGTTGTCTTGTCATCAAAGAAAGTGTCAGACCTGAAAAGATAATGTAAATAATAAAAGGTTGTTTGGCTTTTAAAAGTCACCTTAAATAGAAACTGTAAAAAAATAATTAAAAATAGTCCATGTGAAGTCAGGCATGGTGGCTTATGACTGAATCCCAGCTACTCTGATCCCAACTACTCAGGATTACTGAGGCTAGAGGATACCAACTTGGAGGCCAGCTTGGGCAACACAGAAAGACCCCAATCTCAAACAACAACAGCAACAAGAAGATCCATGTGTACAGCCAAGTGAATGTGGTAATAGTATCCCTTGACAACAACTTCTAATGAATACCTTTTATTATCTCCTCCAATTCTTACCTTCCTTTTCTAATTTACCTTGTTTGTTGACACCTCAGTTCTTTATCACAGAATGAAACAAATTTCACTGTGAAGTCTTAATACTAAATAAGGAAAGCAAACACCATGACAATACAATTTGGAGTTCCAGTGTCCAGAAGTACCATCCCTATCCTTAGTCTAGTACAAGATGGCCCAGGGAACCCTCCAGGGCTGAAGATAGAGCTGGAGGCAAGGCAAGAATCACACTTAACTGACTTGACTCCAAGTTGATATGTGCTATTTCTTTTCTATCTGCCCAACACTCCAATCTCTTCCTTAAGCTCCTTCAATACTTTCCTTTTCTAAGATGCACCATGAGAATTTGGAAAATTTAAAGCAAAGATAATAACATGTATGATGTCATCCTTTTGATGTTTCAAGTCCACACTTCCTGGGCTTAAGGGCTTTTCCTCAACTTACATGTTACCAATATACTCATTGAAATTCAGTTATGAGTTCAGCCAGCTACTTTATTATGTTATACAAACAAGGCTTCTTCTAAATGGAAAATTTCAAACATATATAAGTAGAGAGCATGTATAATGAACTCCTGTATACCATCATTCACCTCAACAATGGTCCACCCATGGCCAATCTTGTTTCACCTATACCCCAATCCTCTCCCACCCTGTGTTGGTTTGAGGCAAATCCAAAATACCAAATCACCATAAGATGGCTCTGATACTTTAACTACAATAGCATTACCATCCACTCAATGTTCAAACATCCCTAATTATCTCATAAATGGTCATTGTGGTATCGGGTGTCTAAGAGGATACACAATGGGCAATTGGTATTCCTGCCTTAAGTGTGAGAAGACCCAATAACTTGCTTCTAAGGAACATACTACAATATAAACGACAGGAGGTCACCACCCCGATAAGGCTGCAAGGAAAAAAATCTATGGCTTCCATCTTTATTGCTAGTGTTGTCTTCAAAGGTGTCTGACCTCTGTGGTCACATGGACTCTTGGGCATGAAAGGGCCTCACACTTGGTTTAATGCTTTGCTGTCACTATCTTGAATTTCTGAATAAGTTTTGCACTAGGGGCCTTGCATTTCCATTTTGTCTTGGGCCTCACACTTGCAGATGGTCTCACCAGATGCCATGTTGTGAAGATGCTCAAGCATCTTCATCTATGGGGAGGAACTCAGGCCTGTCAGTAAACATGAGAGTGAGCTTGTAAGTGGATCTTCTGAGTTCTATCCACAGCCATATGAGTGAGCATGGAAACAGGTCCTCCGGCCTCAGTAGGTCCTTAAAATGACTAATAGCTTGATTGTAGCCCGATGAGAGACCTCCAGCCAGAGGTAGGGTGGGTTTTGAGGCAATCTTTAGCAAATTATTATTTGCTTTCCTATTTCACAGTCTGTTAAATCAAGATCCAAATATGGCCCTGATCGAAATATCTCAAGTCTATTATAATTTACAGGCTCATACTTTTTTTTTCTCCATAAGCACGGTTATACAGTTTGCAGGAGACAGAAAACACTCTCAGATGAGCTTATGCAAAATAGGAGACTTAAAAGGGTACAAAGAGTAGCTGGACGTCATCAGAGACTGGGACCAAAAGGGCATCAGGACCCAAGGCAGCTATTTCCCCCATTTTTTCTCTTTGCTCCAGGGTTGAACAGTGTCATGTCTTTGTTTCCAATTTGAGGCTATTATGAGTAGTAGTGTTCTGAATATTCTTGTACCTGTCTCCCAGTACACATAGGTACAAGTTCCTTGAGATTATAAACCCTTAATTATAACTTCTGGGGCATTTACTAGATAATGCCAAACTGTTTTCCAAATGGTTGTGCAATTTATATTCCCGCTAGCAATATACGAGAGCGCCTGTTGTTCACATCTGTGCTGGCACGTCATACTGTCAGATTTTTAATTTTAGGGTGTATGGTGGTAACTCATTTTAATTTCAATTTCTACTTCATCAATTACTTGTAATTTGGAGCATTCTTATATAGTTGTAAAGGAGTCTTATCTATATTATAAATAAAATCTTTGTAGTGTATATGTATTACAAATATTCTCCCCCATTCTGTGATTTTCTCTTTTGTTCTTTCTTTCTTTCTTCTTCCTTTCCCTCTCCTTTTTTGTTATGCTAAGGAGTGAACCCAAGGCTTCATACATGCTCGGTGTTCTACTACTGTGCTATGTCCCCAGCCCTATGACTTGCTTTTCAATCTTTATAGAGGCTTAGAATAGACAAGTTCTTAAATTTTACTTAATTCATTTTGTCAGTCTTTTTCTTTGGTCCTTTCCTTTTGCTTTTTGTGTCTCATTTCTACCTTAAGATTGTGTTGGTAGACTGTGAAGGAATACAATTTCCTCCATTATTAAAAAAAATCTTTATTGTTTTACTTTTCACAGTTAAGTCTTTAAGCCACCAGGAGTTGACATTTGTGTATGGTGTGAGATAGGGATATAATGTTTTTTCCTATATTAGTATCCAACTTTTCACATACATAATTTATCATTAAAAAGCCATCTCTGTAGTGACATATGATATCAATCATGTGATTCATCTCAGCAGCTCAGGAGGCTGAGGCAGGAGGATGGCGAGTTCAAAGCTAGCCTCAGCAAAAGCGAGGTATTAAGCAACTCAGTGAGACCCTGTCTCTAAACAAAATACAAAATAGGGCTGGGGATGTGGCTCAGTGGTTGAGTGCCCCTGAGTTCAATCCTCAGTACTCCTACAAAATAAATAAATAAATCATATGATTCATATATGTGTCACTCTCTTTTCTATTCCATTGGCTTAGTTGTTGATTCATGGAATACTACAGTGTCTTAATTACATTTTTTTTCTTTTGGTAATTAGTAGGGTAATAGTTTTGCTAATTCACTTTTTTTTTTTTTTT